TCTGTGGCCTCGTCGACCTTTATGATGACGCCGAGGTTCTCCATTCTCTCCAACTCACGTTTGACACTAGGAAGCATAAGTAGGGGTACTCGCCGCGGATACGTAATAGCACTCGGCTTGGCATCGGGGAGTAATATTATCTTGTATTCTGTCTTGAGAAGGCCCAGGCCTGCAGTCAAGTTGGAGTAGTGGCAGAGAATGTTAGCAGGGTCACTGACCTTGCTTGTTGACGCTGTGACTTCGAGGAGGCTTGGAAGGATATCCAATGATTTGATTGCTGGACATTCGAGAAGTGCATCGTGTAACTTGTCGATCACGTAAATTTCTTCTTGACACTCTCGGCCATTCCAGCACAAGGTTGCGCTAAACAGACCTATTGTTGCGATTTTGGTCCGGCCGGGTCCTAGCAGCCGTTTCTTGGCCTGCTTCAGGTTGCCCATGACTTGTTCGTTGTAGAGACTTGTAGGTATAGCGGTAACATCTGCACCAGTGTCTACTTTGAACTTCATTGGCAAGCCATTTACTGTAACATCAGTCCTCCACGGTCCAGAGTCCCGTTGGTCGGTCCATTGACCCAAGTAAACCTCTTCCAAAACAGCTTGGTGGGTGCTCTTTTTCTTCCTCGCAGAGGCAGATAAGCACACGGCAGCAAAGTGTCCCTTTTTCCCACAGCCACTGCATATTTTCCCGTTTGCCGGGCACATAGTGCATAATGGTGGGTGCGTTGTTGAGCCACACCATTATGCACTATGTTGCACGTCGGCACAGTTTGGTCGTGCTGTGTTTTTTGAGAGCGCTGATTTGGCTTTCCTTTGCTCTTCGAACATCCACGCATGGCGTCAACAGCTGCAGGCGCCTGTTGCTGCGGCCGTAAATCTTTTTGCTGCAGCTTGATCGTTTCAGAGTTGCATGCAGCGGTGACGGCGGCTTCAAGAGTCAGCTTGGCGTTAAGTTGCAGCTTCTTGCTTAGCTGCGTGTCTGCAAGGCCGACCCCGAGCCTGTCGCGGATCAATTCTTCTTTGAGATCTCTGTACTCGCAGGTTTCGGCCAGTCGGTAGAGTTCGGTTACGAACACGTCGACTGACTCATGCGCTTCATGCTTCCGGCTGTTGAACTTCGCCCGCTCGTATATCACGTTCGTCCGCGGCACCAAATGTTTCGCGAACGCTCGTGTTACCGCGATGTAGTTGAGTTTCTCAGCGTCAGAAAGTTTGAGCGACGCCAGGACATCTTCTGCTTCACGGCCCATCGCGTAAATGAGTGTGTTCACCAGGGTTTCGTCGTCTTGTTTCTTCAAACCTGAGATGACGCGGTACCTTTCCCATTGTGTAGACCACCGCTTCCACTCATCGGGTCGCCGAAGTTCGAGCTCTTCCGGCGGTTCGACGACAAAAGGGTTGAGCGGGGTTGCAGGCTGAGCTGTGGGCACTGTAGGCGTTACCATGGGTGCTGCAAAGTTCCGTGTTCGATGCCGGCGTTTGTTAGGCCTACTTGTCCGGTGCCCTCTTCACAGCGTTGTCGTGTCTTCCACGTATCCCACCGCTGCCACCATGTCGTGGTCGGGAACTGAGAACATGAACAAGCCGACGGATAACGACAACTGTTAAATGGTTAAAGGATTCGATTAAACCATGCGTGCTAGCGCGGCTACATGTTAGCTCGACAGACACAGTCACACACCCTCGCGCCAGCGATCTGCCGAATCCTCCCGCATGTCACGTGATGCGGTACGCATAGCGCCATCTCCTTGTGGCTGCGTCCACGACAATGAGTGTGGCATGTAGCCATGTTGTAATGACACGCATGTCGTGATTATCATGTCTGGATGTGTCATTTACCTATGTCGTCCTTTCCCGTTGTGTAATACTGAATTTGGTATAAGTGAAGCTAGGGAAACGGCCGCCAGCACATCATGGGAGTGGCACGTAGTCTTGCTGTTACATGACACGCATTTTATGATAATCATGTTTGCACCAGTCACATACCTTCGTCATCCATTCACGTACTGTAATACCAAATTTGGCATTATGAGTATTATGGTATGGTATTATTATGGCACCATGAGCATGGCATGTAGTCATGTTGTTACATGACACGCATGTGATGATTTTCATGTTAGGGTCTGTCGCTTGTGTTCACCCTGCAATCATGTCATACGATACCAATTTTGCAACATGCCATGTGAACAAAACCACCGCAAGAGCTACAAGACCATAAAATGTAAATCATGACATTGATGACATACATGTCATGATTTTCATGTTGTGACTAGTCAATTATGTTCTTCATACAGTCATGTAATCCCATATGAAGTTTGGTATCGATACCATTATCCAAACAGCCAGGAGAGCTAAAAGTTGTAGGCGGCTAGATAGATAGATAAATAGATACGCTCAATGCCGCGGAAGTTCGCTAAAAAATGCTTCGCATTCAAAACAATTCATTATATCTTGATGGCGAATTTGGAATGCAATGGCAGAGCAATGCATACCCTGGTAGTAAAATATGTCCAGATTTTACTTCCATCTCATGGCCAAGAAATCTTTTTGCAGTAAGTTTTATGTACAAACGAATGAAGCAGGTTTACACTGAAAATAACTTCTTATTACTTCGTTATGTCTTCATATCACTTGATATCACTTGGTGTAAAAGTGCTGCGAATCTCAAGAACCTTATCCATCCAAAGCAGATCCAAAGTCTGTACTTGCCATAATACCCACGACGGTACAAGTGACGCTGAAAGAGCCCACATAGACATTAGCGCCAGATTCTCCTCTAGGTATTATTGCATGAAACTCCATGATGTGCACTGATGAAGGGAAGCATCCTACAGCCCTCTTGTCATCCCCCTTTTTTAATAGCTCTCAGCGCACTCGTGAGATTTAAAGGAGAAAGGGCTTAACACGCACGAGAAATCTCTTAAAGTTCACTCGTACTTGACGGATTCTAAAAATCTTTAAGGTAGTCGCTTCATGAAGCCACAAGGTTTTTAGGGACGAAGCTCCAAATAGTGTGGGTCTGTCCATCCCTTGTATGTATGTACGTGACCGCCTATAGTACCACCTTTGCAAACTGCCCACTACTCCGTCCTTGCAAACATACCGCTACACCCCATCACCAATTGACTACTTCACCGACCATAAAGAATACTGTTGAGAAGTAGCCAATATGAATTGCCCCACTGTGTTCATGCTTTGTTTGTATGAGACCGCCTATAGTTTCACTGTTGCAAACTGCCCACTACTTTGTCCTTGCAAACATTCCACAACGTCCCACCACTGGTCCACCATTTCACCATAAATAAAGCGGTTATAACGAAGGGGGTACGGAAGCGACCTACAGCTTCCACTTAAGAATAATAAATTTTCACTGTATAAACATATACAATGTTTGTGATGTCTTTGATGATGTAGTGGGGCATATTCGCTGATGGTTCACAGTTTAGGGATGAAACCCTCCAGCGCTTCGCCCCAGTCATCATCACTCACTCCGTGGGTATGCTAGTATTTTTTTAATGAAGCCATCCGATGACTAGTGTTGCAGGGCCTCTCTACACTGTTCACAAAACCTATGCACTATGGGAATAACTTCAAAGCACTGAGTGGGTAGCAAGAACAGCAAGTTTATTATGCCTGTGTAATCCACACTAGTCCATGTGAAATTAAGGTGCACTTGTGCATGTGATGATAGTAACACAATATGACACAAATGATACAATACATAACCCCTGCACATCCAATACAAAACCACTGCACATCCAGAAAATGAAATTTTAATGTTGCACTCGCACAGTGCTATCTCTTCAAAGAGAAAATCACAGAGCATGTCGAACGATTGAAAGACTGGGAAGTCTAATGCATCATCAAAACAGAATAATGGCCAAAATGCTCTTGCTTACATATTGAGCTCATTAATATGCAATGTGGTGCATGAAAAACAGTATTATTTGCACATTTGATTCTTGCATCATGGAAGGAACGCTACATATAATTTTACTTAGCCTGCAAAGACATGAACCAAACTAATCCAGAAGTGTCAGAAACTATGGGGGCTGCCCTAAACTTTGGCTGATGCCACTTTAGAATGGAAAACATTTTCCCCAACCAGACAAATGACAGTCCACAATAATCGCATTTAGGTTTACTGGAGTGTTGCGGGAAGAGTGAATACGCATTCTTTTTTGGGCCAGCAGAACCATCTGTCTTTTTAAAAAAGATTTCAGCACAGTAGAATACATTGCTTATCAATTTCAAGGTAATAATTTCTGGGGTTTCCAGTGCCAAAGCCCACAATATTGTCACGTCGTTACAATGGTGAGGAGGGCTGTGGCGATATTGGCACATACAAAAGGCTTTATTTGGGCATACCTGTGTCCAGTAAATGAAAAGACATTGTGCAAACGATCCACAATGTACACTAACAGTGGGTAGGGCAGCTGTGAGCTGTCGAGTAAACTGATCTGCCGTTAGGTGCACTAGCATTAACGCATGCATCATCAAATGTTCAAATATTATCCCTGGCAGGTCTGCTAGTTATGGAATAAACCGAACTGCTAGTGTTTATGCACCCAAGAAAATCTGAAGATTCTAAAATAATCAGAAAGGTTACGAGACATTCGTGCGTGCTTTGTGAAAAGAAGTGTGGTTGTACTAGGTGCCACAGACTAGTTACATAGGTACACAAAAAGGACCACGTCGCACTATCATATTGAAGTATGCTGTCGTTGGGGACATCAAACGAGCTTTTACGACCAGGGGTTCATTAAAATGCACCTAGATCAACGTACATGGGTGTGCTTGCATTTTCCCTCCTTCCCCTTAAATTGTGACTGCTGTACCTTATAATTTTTGGCAATATTTTTTTTTCTCAAAATCTTCTGCAAGGAACAAAGCGTCCATGGGAGCCAGCTTTTTTTTGGGGGGAGTGGAAAAAGAATTATTTAGCTTCGGGCGATTTGGATGGCTGAGCAGCGCAGCAGGAAACAGCAAATGACCACGTACCTGAATCAAATCCAGTATCCCCAGCTCACTCTCACTGGAATCAGCGCAGAATACTATGTACAGGGTAGCATAGCGGCGGTAGATAATCTTGTAGTCCGAGTTTTTAACGAGACTGAAAACCAGCGAACAGAGGTATCAGTTATGCCACTGACGCTACGCTTTCGCAAGGATGGAACAAAAATGACGTGAAGATACTATTACTGCATGTTTGTCACCTATTATCGCTTCCTAACGACCCAAACAGCAAATGTACAACACATCTTCGCACTCAAACGCAGCTAACTTAGTGTGCAGCCTATGTAGTAACATTTTAAAATGTTCTAAAGTGAATTTCCACTCAAGAAGTTTTTAGATTAGAATGACAACTAGGCTAGATCTAACACTTCCTTTTTATAGCCAGAAATTGGGATGAGACTGTTCTCTTTTTTGTCGACATGGTAGGGTGCTCGCGTAAAACGTTCAAAGACACAGTAAGTTTCACAACAGCGAATTGCTTTAAGAAGTGCTACTGCCAGACTATCGTGAGCTCAAAAAATTGAGTTGGTATGTATCAGTTTAATTTATGGGGCGAAAAAACGGCGAAGCATTACAAATAGCGAGCTAGAAGGTGACAAAGCGACGCTTCAATATGCTCTTCCGGTGTAAACTACTTATTAGTCGTATCCTTCGTAGAGGTTCAAATTTCATGGTTCGAGGACAGCGCCGACAACAAGCGGCGCGACTACACTGAACTTCGCGTTCAGTGTGGCCACGTCGTTCTGCGCTTCGGGCGAGCGTGTCCATGGCAACCCGTTTGCACATCAGCTAAATCGTTACACTCACAACACCACGCCTGCTCCACATTGAGCGAATTTACTTGTTACACAAATAATGCTATTTAGTAGATGACCTACTCTCCACCTTCGAGGAAGTTGCAAACGTCTTCACCTCGCCTGGAAACGAGCTGAAAAACCTGGCGTATAATGTGCTGTTGCTCCTCCTCGTGCTGCAAGTGGGAACAGAAAAAAAAAAGAAGAAATAATGAATGAAGCAGCGAGTGTGTAGATGACACAAAAATTAACGTATCACAGCTGCAACCCGCCCCCCGCGCCCGCACGAGAATCGTACTCACGATGCGTTCGTAGAACTTAGTCAGCCTAACCTTTCCATACTGATTAAATATTAGGATCGCTTTGATCATCTTGCAAAGTGTACAAAGGCGAATAACTAGGAGGAAACCTAAGTGCAGAAAAAACGGCGATCGTGCATACGTTGTCACATGCTTTTTGTTTACCAAGCGCCGGCTATCAACGACTTCTTAGGAGTCTACGTAGCCGTAACGTAGGCATTTCTACGATGCCATTTTCTCGAAACCAAATCTCCGTGTCTGAACTATAGTTATAGTTTTGTTTTGCTTTAGTGAAAGGGATACCATAAACTGTGCTGACTAAGCACCTCTAATATAAGTAAATAAGCCTTATGTCGCATAAAATATAGTTATAGTGTACCAAGAGCTTTAGCGCTTACACATTCTTCTCAGTGCTTTTATTGCAATTTACAAACATGGAAATTTCAGTGCTTAAACAGTTTCGCCTAACGAGGGGTGTCGTAAGTACAACAGAAGCAAACACAAAAACATATCTGTGCCAAGTTTTTCCAAGCAAAAGGTACATGATGGCCGTTTACTATGTTGTTCATGGAGGAAAAATTAGTGTTGTGGAGAACTTTTGTGGCCTAGACTAACGCTGCATGTCAACCTACATGCGAATGTAAGAGCACTGCACATTGGTTTACTTTTATCTTCTTTTCTAGCCCTTGTGGTAAACGAAACAAAGCGTCATATCCCACAAACTTTGCCGGCAGCTGGTGCATCGAAACCGAAACTGGCGAAGAAGACGCGCGCGCGATGTTCGCTCAGCGTGTGATTGGTTCTCACAACACAAGCTGTAACAAACGTCACGTTCGCGTCGAGTGCACGCGGCAGCGCTGCCCTTTAAAAAAATGTGCGCCTATCAGAAGCGCTCAAAATCGCCCGGCGGCAACACGCGTGGCGTGTGGTGGTGTTCCGATGGAACCGAGGACCGTGGCAAATTCGCCCAAGCCGCCGTGCGCGGCCTCCCTTAAGGACCTAATCAACCAGCTGCACCGCGTCTTCGAGGATGACCACATCAACGTCGAGTACGTGCACGAGCTCATGTCATCGTACCGGAGCAACCCCAAGGAGTGGCAGCAGTACGCCAAATTTGACAGGCACAGGTGAGCAGCCGATGTCGCAAAAGCAACGCGCCTGTCTTAGCTGCACAAACAAGACCGGCGCACGCTGGTTGGTTCTCGTTATCTAGACCGGTTTGTGCGCGTTTAGTTAATTCGGCTCCTTAAGTAGATCACCACTTCCTCTTTACAGACCATTGTCGCACCTGCGCGTGCACTTTGTCGTCTAGGATGTATTGCTTGACACGTGACAATCAATTTAGTTTCGTTTCCTCTAGAGCCCATTATGAATTCGAGCACTTCCTTAGCGGTTTTTCTCGGAAATACCAGTGCATGCTTCAAGGGCGTAGCGAGTATATTAATTATTACGAAGAAGAAATTTGTCCGATCCCGCTGTATGTGCGCATGTTTTTTTTATATGTGTGTGCGTGAGACTTATGCGTGCCTATGGCCCATGCATGCATACCTGAAAACAGCTGACTGCTGCGTGGCCAAAGCAGTTATCTTAGAGGAGATGGCAAATGCAGATGCATAATTGCGGTCCCTGATTTGGTCTAGTATCAGTCCCCATTTATCATTTTGTACAAACAAGCGTTTTTCTTGAGTAGCTGGGCTCAGTTCCTTAAATACATGCATTGTAGAACTACTTTGTTTTCCTGTCCAAGCGCGTCCGCTTCGGGGCATGATTTGCAGTCGTGGTGTTTACCTTGCTTCTATAGTCTTCCTTGCCTGTGACGTCATTCATGGTATTTGCCGCCGTTGACATTAAATGAAGTGCTTCGCTGCGAAATTTCGCGCAGACATTGCCATTGCTGACTGTGATAACTTCGCATTATATTTATTGTGTTCACATTCAATTTTACCCTGGACCCAAGCTAGTGAGATAAATATTAAAGGGGGAGGGTCGAGATAGTGAAATGTAGCAAAATACGTGACTGTGCCAAAAGACATCTTGCGCAGCAAATAATTGATTGCACGGATCCATGAGATAACTTAGCGGCTGCACCAATGTATGAATGTACGGCCTAAGTGATCGGAAGGGTCGAAGATTCGCTCCCCCTTCCTCTCGAGGCTTGGCTATGCTCAACCGCAGTGCTGGTTAGAGCTTCCACTGTACGGGGGAGGCACTGCGTTCGAATCCCAGTACCGCCGTGACGGTTAATGTTGTACACCGGCCTCGTGCTCGGTGTTGTGGGTACTCGTTCCGCAAGCAGACAGACCCTTCTACCACTGACCAGAAGTCGGAAGTCTTTTACCGAATATAAACAGGTGTTTCATTAAAATGTTCAAAGTGCCCCACTTTCGACCAGGAAAAAATTCCTGGCTACGAGCCTGCAAAAAAGTACAGCCTCTCCTTTCCGTTCTCCTTATGAGCAGTAGAAATATGTCTCAAAAAAAAAAAAAAAAAAAACCTGTAGCTGAATTTATCTATGCGCGTTTATTTTTTTAAGCTAGTTTGTCCATTGCTGGGATGGAACATTTGGTAATTGAGTTCCCTCTTTTTTTTTTTTTTTTACGAGATATGACCGCTTCGTACTTTGTGCCTTGACCGAGCATCGATGCCGCTCTTGTAAAAATAAAAGAAAAAATAAATGTACGCCTCCGTCTGCGCTCGTACTTAAGAAGAACCAACATATCCGAGTCGCAGCTAGTACTGTGTTTTCAACAGGGATGGCAGATAAAAGAAGAAAAGTTATGCAACAGACGCTTGGCAGACACATTTCGCACCTTCTTATATACTCATTTCATTCCATGCACCTGCGCCTTGTTGTGATGCACTCGGGAGATTCCTGCGTATACGCGCCGATTTGCTTGGTGGAAAAAAGAGGAATGTCTGCGCGGTGCATGATATCAAACTGACGATTGCGGAGTGCTGCTACTACTTGCGTACACGACGCCTTTACCGGGTTTCACACATTAATAAGAAAAGGAAAAGAAAAGACATTCAAAAGAGCGGCAAGCTTTCAGAAGCCGCGAACAAGTCGGGCTGTACATCTCTGCTACGTGTTCGGATATCCCCCATCGTGTATACTTCGTAGAATGCCACACGTTACTGCGATGAAGACAGCATAATTAATCGTTGTGCTTCCTCGGAAGAAAAAAAAAAACGAGGACGAGAAAACTAGTTCTTATTGGCAAAAATGGATCGCGTTCATTGTCTGCTACATGCTACTTTTTTTAAATCAAGTGTCCATGGACTAGGGAACTTGGCTTGACGAAAGCTGAGCAACGTGATTTCTTACGATAATTCAAACCTTAACGGTTGCTCAAATTTTTCGAAGGCGTGCCCTGGTTCGCCGAAACATGCGCAGTACTCACAAAGTGCAGATACCGCTTCTACTTATATATTATTGATAGTGGGACTTTTCGGGCCAAAACCGCGCTGGTTTATGATGAAAGCCGTTGCGGGAGACAAGGGCGCCGAAGTGGCAGGTGATTAAATTCACGGGCAGTTTTGTCTTTCGCTTCCGTTGAAATGCGGTGCCCGTGCCAGGGAATCAAACCCGTGCATTCGTGCTATGCAGCGCAACACCGTAAAACCGCAAAGCTACCTCGTGCGGCAGGTGACCAATACTGCTGTAGGGAATATCCGATTCTTGCTGTGTAAGCGTGCTTCTTGAAGGGGGCTTATCGCCTCGCCATCTCCTTGGTCACGCTTATCGGTCGGCGCATGACCCCCCTCCCCGTCACGCGCCCGTGTCGCGTTGGAAAAAAAAGAAATTTCGGAATGGTTTCGGGGACCGTGTGGTTCATCGAGTTGCTACTACTACAGTGAAAAGGTGCCCCAAAGAGCTGACGGTGCCACGCGTATGCTACTCCAAAAGCCTCATTATGTAAATAATTGCTCCATATCTGCACCTTTTGCTAGCAATTGTAAAAAGTCAACGCTTGCTGCTTTGTATACTCCAACGTCAGTCACGCGAGAGCGAAAATAATCGGCTTATCTGGGCCCCATGTACACCTCTGCATCTACAGAATAGCAGCTTAGTTTTGCTCTGCACAAGTAGTATTACCTGGCCGAACCTTGTACTAAGGCAAACCTTCGAATCTTGATCGCAACAATCAGCACATGTAATTTTTCTGTACGTCAGTTTTGATGCACAGTACACCTAGTCCGGCTCCGACCCACTTCGCTTCCCCTTCGCTGCCTCAACCCCCCCCCCCCCCCTTCTCGACCAATTGGGACACTTGTGCCTGTTTTTCTTGGCAATGGTTACTATATAGTGGGGCGCATCGTCTGCACCTTCGTTCAATATTGCGATTCCATGCAATGTGCATAATTGCAGTTGTGAAGAATAGGCCTCACCAGATGCCAGCACAGAGTAAAGACAATTTATGTTCATTGCACTGTTACTGCGTAAATTGACAAATTCACCATGGGCATCGGCAGGGGGGTGCAAAAGGGGCGCTCAATCTACACCAGAGCTGGCCCCTCCCCCGGCCGTGATGCAACCCGAGCTTGCACCCCTACAGACAACATCCTGCTGGCGCTCATAGAAGTCGCCGACAAAGTACAACCGAGAGAAATAATCTTTCCTTGATGTCGATCAGTCTAGCGGGTTACTATAGATAGCAGTATTGAAACAGTGGTTATTAAAACACTCGAAAGCCTAGAGCACCTTTCAAAAAAGCACCCGTGCATGCATGCCATCGTTGCATGCTGGGTAATTAGGGTTACACCTTCCGTCCCTGAGCGATCGTTTTACTTCTGCCATTGTTGCGAGCATTTTAGTCACTAGTTACATTGCATGACTTTGTAAGTGATCAAGAGATCTCTTGATGAGAAAGTCTCTCTTAAAGATCTTCCTAAATGCACACGGATTTACGCTGTTTTTAAACCATACTGCAAAGTGATTTCAGACTTACAAGACCTGCGTTGTCTTTCTCTCATCTGCTTATTCAAAACTTTCTGTTACAAAAGCGAGAATCTAACACATAATGAAATTACTTCTACAACAGCTGCTACAACATGGTGTTTACATTTTTCACCCCTTCGAGTGTTCCTTGCGGGTGTTGACGCTGGCGCAGAGCGCCACCCACGTAATTATATGTAGGTCTGGAAATGCACAGCCACAGACAATTGAAATGTAAACAAGTTAGGCGAATTAAGACGCATTTTCTCGTTTATGCCGGTGCGAGATAGCGCTCTCCAGCTCTCGTTTTCGGAAACTGTTCGCGCTTCATTTTTCCGTGACTGTACAAGCGCAAAGTTCATCATCACGAGATCGTCATCCGAACAAAGGCCGGACTCGAGCTAGGCAGACGCGACGCGAGCGTCTGCCCTTAAGCTTGGCTGTTGCCGCGCCTATTGCTATACTGCACTATCCCTGCCGCGATTTGTAATCACCTTTTACAGTGAAAGCTGTTGCGAAAGCGCAATAACTAGATGTCCGCGACCGCCGCCGGTGTCCGTAGCCGCTATCTCGCGAAATGAGAAAAAAATGCGAAATGATCAAATATGCAAAATAGAATTGAATTAGAACACGGGCCCTCTGTGTGGCACACAGGTATTCTGTCTCAGAACCACGCCACGCCGGTGCTAAATACTCCCTCCCGAAAAAAAAAAAATGCATGTGCCATGTTGGGAAATGAATCGCGTTAGCATACGTGATATGTCGCGGTAGTATGCCGTAAAAGAACGACTGGACGTCACACAATCCGAATCGCGTAACTAGTGGGCCGTTTAAGGTTTCCTAACTATTACAAAGTGCTTAGCCACACTTCTTCATCGTCATCAGCCACAGTAACAGGTTGCCAAAAATTGTTGAGCTCACTGAGACTCACTCATGAAATATATTTTTCACTTGAGGCTCACTTGGACTCAGGCTCGACAAAATTTTCCTCGGCCGAACTCACTCGGACTCAAACTCGCCAAAATATTTCTCACCTTGGCTCGCTGAGACACATGAGTCCGATAGCATAGAATCGGCTTTTTCGGCCTTGCATGGTGTCGGCGCTCTACAACACCAATATCTCACACAATCGGTGCTTTTCTTCGCTTGGCTTATTTTCATGTAGCAACCTTGAATACGAGTTGTGAGTGG